CGCTGCAAGTCTGAGTGCAGGGCTATTTTGGGGCAGGAACGCACAGGAACGGAGTTCCAGCTGGCTCCTGAGTTGGCCATGCCCAGCAGGGACTCATTAGCATAATAGGCCACACCCAACAGCAGAAACTCATTAGGATTGGCTACATTAGGGGTGTGTGGCCTAACAGGCAAAGGAGTTCCTGCTACAAAAAAGCCCTGGGTTTTCACAACAAACAAGGTAAACAGAATAAGAAGCAAAAGATGGGTGTGGCTGGATGAGCACACTTCTGGTAACATGGGGGTGTGGCCTAATCTGCTAATGAGTTTCTGCTATTGGGTGGGGCCTATTACGCTAATGAGTTCCTGCTGGGCTTTTTGTACCAAAAAAAGCCCTGTCTGAGTGCATGTGTGAACTGAACCCCAGATGATATACGCCCCAAACAGCCACACATACTTGGATTTATTTATAGCTCTTTTCAGTTTCTTCTCCAGCTGCTTCATTCGGCCCATGGCTGCGTTGTATTTGGCTGCCGTCTCCTTGTGCACCAGCTCACTTCTGGTTTTTGTCTGTTCTGCCTCCATGACCTTTACAGCAAAAGGTAACAAAAAATAGTTTTGCGCTTCAAGCAGCTGCAAGCCTGTCATGCGTTTTGGCTGGATGTGTCATTTTTAAGCAACACTAGTTTCATAACCCTGAAGGGCCGCCTCTCCTCATACGGTCTCATGAGCCAAGTGCAGTCTTCTGGTGTCCATTTTCTACTTGGCCCCCCACTTAAGGTAGCACCTGCTGGAATCTACTCATTCACTACATTGGCTTCCACCTAGTACAACATGAGAAGGACACCAACTTTAGAAGGTGCCCAAAATTCGTTTTATTTGAGAGGCCTGTCAATGGGATTTAAGCGGCCGGCATTTTCTTGGGGTAGGTTAATGGGGTTTTATTATATTTACAATTGTAGGCCATCTTCAGCTGTGAGGGAAAGGTGGGGTAGGAATATTTTAATTACTAAATGAATACAACTCAGAGAGCTGGGGGAGGGGGGGGCAGAGCAACGCGGAAAAAAGATGACAACAGTAATTTCTTTATGGCCCACTTTTCTCACTGGGAGTCAAGGCAGATTCCAAAATCTAAGTCAATACAATCAATAGGGTGAGGAGACTTCTGATAAACAATGGACATGGAAGTTGCAAATGCCTAGATAGAATTCATTCCCTTTTGCAGTAATGTAGCTTTAAGGACATACTAATGGCTGCCTGATAAAAAAATTCCAACAGCGGCTTTGAAATTCAAACTGATCACAATAATGGGTGGCTTCTGTGTCAATAAATACTGATCCACAGCATAATCTGGGCCTCAACGAACAGGAGCAGAAACAGTTCTTGCCAAACGTAAGTAGTGGCCAGTATCTGGTTAGAATACGCTGGAGCTGCTTGGAACGATTAACCAGGAGAAAAAAGAGAACTGTGCTGATTCCTACAACACAGATGGACAGCAAGCTCCGACTTAGTCTAATGAGCCCAAAAGGGTAGGAACAGCCCTATTAACAAGGAGGAGAAAACCCGCTGCCTCCCATCAGATTTTTTAAAACAGGGGGGGGGGAGCATTGCTGCTCAGCAGAGAGGGGGCTTTTCACTCCTGACTGCTTGCAAGCCAAGAGACCACAGAACATTACTGAGATCAGTGGAGGTCTGAACAGGTGAACAGGAGACAGAAAATATCAGTTTACAGTGTACTGGCTCTGTCTGTGGCCTTCATTGCTAGCACACGTATGCTTGCATTAATGTCAGTGACACACACAACATCTGGGGAACCTCTGGTCTGATGCCCTTTTGGCTGAGTTCACCAGGAACGTACTGAGGTCCCCCCCACCCCCCACTTCTCCTCCCCAATCGAGCAAATATAATCCTTACATGAAGCTTAACGTTAAAAATAAACAAACCACAGACTTCAAAAGAAGAGGAAGAGACTTCTCTGTGGAATTTTTTACAGCAGGGCTTCTACACCGTATTCATTCTGAAACCAGTAAGTTCCACTCTGCATTAGAAGAGGGGAAAGCCCTCATGCAAATAAGTTCAGACAGTTTCCCCACCACCACCACCTGTAAGAACCAGCTGTTCCTGACCTAGCATGCATGAGGACCTCCCTGTATTCAACAAGATTTATTTATTTATTTAATTTCTACACCACATTCCCTGCCAAGGCAGGCTCAGGGCGGCTTACATAGGATTACATAGTATGTTTTAACCGACTCAGTCTGGAGATACACATAAAAACATACAAAGTGCTAGAATGATTCATATATGATGGTGGGCATGAGCAGCATCCAACAATACAAGTCTGGATTATATCCAGCTGTTTAAATGATGTTATAATGATGATGGTGGTGTTAAAATTGGGGCCAGGGTGCAGCTCCTTAGTTGAAGGCCTGGTGGAAGAGCTCCATCTTGCAGGCCCTGTGGAACTGTAAAAGGTCCTGCAGGGCCCTGATGTCTGCTGGGAGCTCATTCTACCAGTACAGAGCCACCACTGAGAAGGCCCTGGCCCTCATCACAGCCAGCCTGGCTTCTCTGGGGCCCGGCGGGGCCAGACGGTTTTGGGACCCCAATCATAGTGCTTTCTGGGGAACATGTGGGGAAAGGCGGTCCCCTTAGGTATGCAGGTCCCTGACCATATAAGGGCTTTAAATGTAAGAACCAGCACCTTGAACCAAATTCGGTATGCTATAGGCAGCCAGTGCAAAGCTTTTAGCACAGGCTGATGTGCTTCCACATAGGGAGGCCCAACAACAGCCTGGCCACCACATTTTGCACCAGCTGTAGCTTCAGGATTTGGGACAAGGGCAGTTTCATGTACAGAGTATTACAGTAATCTAATCTCGAGGTGACCATTGCATGAATCACTGTTGCCAGGTCACTGCGTCTGAGGAAGTGAACCAGCTGCTTGATCAGCCGGAGATGATAAAAGGCTGACTTCGCAGCAGCTGCTACCTGGGCCTCCATCATTAAGGAGGCGTCCAGGAGCACTCCCAAGCTCCTAACCTCTGGCGCTGGCACCAACGGCGCCCCATCAAAAGTCGGGAGTGGGATCCCTACCCTCGGGCCACTCTGACTCAGGCACAGGACCCTCCATCTTCGTCGGATTCAATGTCAATCGACTCAGTCTAAGCCAACCAGCCACAGCTTTCAAGATGACTAACTCCCTCCTCCAGGCAGGAAAGAAGCAGACACTCTTCCCCAAGATGACCCAGAAAAAAAGCTCTTACCCTCTGAGTAGCATGGTTGAGCATCTCTTGCCAGGCGGAATCAAACTGACGCTTGTCATCCTCCAGCAGTCGCTGCTCCGCGAGGGAAATGGTCTCTTTAGCAGCCCGCAGCACCTCTGTGGCCCTCTGGAAATCCTGTGTGGCCTTCTGGGCCTCCAGTTGCGCCTAAGGAGAGAGAGCCAGCCATTTAACACAAACCAATGGCATCTCACAACTCCAGGTTTTATTTAAAAGTGAGTGGTGGTGGAAGGAGTCTCATTTAGTTTACCACACACACACCCGACTTATGAATTGTATCCTTAAATACAACTTTAAATTTGTTTTAATTTCACACTTAGTACAACATACAAATGAACAAAGGTCTTATCATTTCTCAGTGTACACAGCAGTACAGCAGTTCTTCTATGGCCTACAGCCATCACATGACAATGCTGTCATGCGGAAGTCTTTCTGGTACAGTCCATGTGGCAGCCATAAGCTGTAAGAACCAGGCTGAAGAAATTCATCAGATGGAGGGTCAGGGGAGGAGAAAGGGGGCTCATGCATTTAAAAAAAAGAAAATAAAGCCGTTCCTACTTAAAATTTTGGAACATCTGGGCACAACAAAGTCTAGTGAAACCAATAATCTAGTAGCAGCTCTGCAATCTTGAGTCTGCATGTCAGTTGGTGAAATGCACACGTGCAATTTTGTCTGTTTGGCCACGACCATGAAAATGCTTCTGACACCAAAGATATAAAATACCAGACAAGTTATTCTTTTCCCTATAACCCAAGCTGCACAAAACTGACACATCATTTTCTGCAACAGTGTTGCTCAAAGCATTCCCTCAAGCATCAGATCTATCCAGGCCACCCCTATGTTGCAGTTCATTGGTATTTGACTCTCTAGGATTATTTGAACTGGCAGAAGTCTGAAGCATTAGAAGCCATTTACCAGAGATGCATGTGAGCAAATAGGGCTGTCAAGTCAGACCTGGCAACAAGTGAGAGATGGGGGGCAGGGGGAAAACCATCAGCAACACTGTGATCACATCTAGGAAAAACCCTGAAGAGATGTCATAGCTCTCTAGGAATCATCAGAAACTTGATGGTAAAACCATAGTTTCCAGAGATTCCTAGAGAGAACTGACAATGTCTGTCCCCCCCCCCCCAGAAGTTACTTCATGCCATCAGCCTGGTGACAATTTTTTAATTCTTTTGTCACTGCTCAGAGCAGCAGCAGCAGCTGGAAACAAGGGATGGGGGACGGCCCACCCCCAATGGAAAATTAGCAATGCTAGTCTACTGCTAAAGACCTGTGATGGAATAGGCCTTGCCATACATATGGTCCTCAGCAATCTGCTTACATGTGATGTATAAATGTTATTTTATGCCTCCTAGTTTCCTTTGGCTGTATTAGATATTTAAGTGGCCTACCAGTATAGCCTTCAGTTATAATCATCGGAGTCCTTAAGCAAGCACTGGTTGAACTACTAAAGAACAAGTCTGGCACAAGAGCCAAAAGTGTTAACCATACATACAATCTTAGGGAAGGGGCCAAAAACGTGAGCCAGTTCCAGCTGCACCCCAGGCACAGACAATCCCCTCGAGCCACACTTAAAACATGCCTCTATACATGTTAAAAATCATTCATATTACACCCAAGGGTCATTTCCTGCAGGAGTGCACAGGAGCGGAGCTCCGGCAATAAGAAGCCCAGGGGGTGGGCACATGCAACAAGCCCCACCCCCTGCTCCCAGCAGCCCTCAATCAGGCCACGGGGAGCAAGAAGCAGCCAGGTAAGTTGCAGAACAACCCCGACCCCCCGCACCCCCACACCAC